ATATATATATATATATATGTGGTTGATTTTTCAGCATAGATTAGCTTAGCATATAGCATATGGTGACCCTAAAACTGTTTTTCACAGCTTGTGAGCCTGTTTACACTGTTTTTGAGTGTTCAGCTTTAGCACAGGAGTTTCCTTTGTGTGTGTGTGTGTTGATATAGGGGGGTTGTTGAGTTCCTGCTGTTCTGACTTTGATGTTTGATCTCTGAGGTCGGAGAAAACACTGATCCTGTTCTGAACATCAGATGAAACAAAGGTTCACTAACATGTGACAACAGCCCACTGAGTTAATACACAACACACAGCCTTTAAAGTCTGGGTGAAATAAAACCCTTTAAGATCACATCCTTAGTTATATTGTTCCCCAATTTAACAATTTATGACGAAAACATTCACAAAAACTTAATTTCTTTGTGTTTTTATATCAAAATCTAATCATTGTGTCTTCCTGTAAAACAAAATGTGACACGTTTTATTTCAGGTCTATATCCTGAAGTTTGACGATAACAAATCACAGAGACACTTAAAGAGGACAAAAGTAGAATGAACAATGGAACAAACTTATAACGTTTTTACAGAAATACAAACATTAACGTTATTTTCATTATAAAATACAGTCTCATGTTTCCCATCATGCTCTGCTCGTTGGGTTTGATGAAGACCAGCAGACTCGGCTCTGTTTGTGTTGGACCGGTCTGAACTGAGCTGTAATATTTAACTCCTGAACCGAGACAGCGACGAGGAAAACTTCCTCTGAATGAAAATCACCTCAGACTTCTTCTTCTTCTTCTTTCAGATCACAGAGAGAACGGAGTCGCTGAACCGCTCGCTGAAGAAAAGGTGAATATCTTCATCAATATCCTGATCAATACTGATCACTATGTGATTTTGTTTGTTTTGTTTTTAATTGTAACAGGTGAAAATGATTTGGGCTTAATTTAGAAAAAATTACACCAAAGTTCAGCTTAAATAACGGAATATAAAACTGTATAAAAAACATTATGCAGTTAGCCAGAAAGCTCACGTACGACTCACATAAGAACTGATTAGTGTTTGGTTTAAAGGTCAAAGTTCAAGGTCACTGTGACCTCATGTCCGTCTCAAGAACGCCACATAGACTTCAGGATGAGTGAAGGTCAACTTCACTATGACATCATAATGTCCTGGGAAAACTTTTCTCTTTTGGCTGTTATTAAACAACATAACTCAGGAACAGAAGCGAAGATCGTGACCATATTTCACCGTCGGTCGGACGCCGAACTGTTGACACTCTGGGCTCACAGGTCAAAGGTCAGGTGGCTTTAAAATAGGTTTTTAGATTTTTAGTCATAATTTAGGAGCAACTTGAGATTCCACACATGTTGAAGGAAGCAGCTCATAAAAACGTGTCGATAAAAACGTCTGAGCGCTCCAACTTTTGTGACATCATCAGGTGGCTCTTAAAAAGTGGGCGTCGCCCTCAGACGTGTTGAAACGGCGGCTTCAGATGATGAGTGAGGTTTTCCCGCCACCTGGCTGGGAAGGAATGACATCATCCAGCAGCAGGAGCTCGTGTCTGAGGTCGAGTTATATCACGTGACTTCTCCTGGTTTTCATTTTAGTTTTAAATAAAAGTGAAAACATAATTCTTTACTATAAAACATTAAATTAGGAAAAAAATTTATGAAATTAGTTGTTTTATTGGTTCATATGAACAGAAATTTCACAGATTTTACACTGTAAGATGAAATAAAATCAGAATCAACATTATTTTTTAACAACAAATTTATTTGGGTTCAGAAACAATAAATATAAAATAGAAATTTACAATTAAAAAAAGTAAAATACTGTAAATCTGTTTATGTTCTCTGTATAAAGAATATCTGCAAAAACAATAATCCAAAGATTTGATGTAGAGACTTTAACGTCAATATTTAAAGAATGTAACTATATATTATTAAAATTACAAACACAAAGAGTAACACAGATTTATTTTAAGTCCTAGTGAAGAAAAACAAAAACATCAGGCTCAATTTAGGAGAAATGAAATTTTTTTTTAATATACTTGCATAAAAGTCAAGAAGTTTTTATTCACATTGTAATATTTGATATAAGATGATAATGTAAACGGTATGTAGGTAAAATAATAATAATAATAATAATAATAATGTGTGAAACCTTTAAAGTGATTTAAGGTGGAATTAAAGTTAAATAAAGAAAGTAAATAATCTGGTTGTGTTTTGTTTTTATCAGTAACAGTTTTAAGAAGACGCAGCCGCTCGTCCTGCTGCCGAAGATCGACGACAAGATGGAGCAGTACGCCCACGCCGTGGAGGTCAGCACACACACACACACACTAAAACACAGTAACACACCTGTGACTCATCCGGCGTTCAGGACAACTTCAGCCTTATTGTCTCACTTGATTCACACCTGTTACACCGTCAGCTGTTCTCAGTCTGAGCACAGCGCCACCCGGAGGCCGTAGGGATCATTACAGCCAACAGGTGGAAAGAAAGAAAACAAACAACTTCAGTAAATATAGAAACTATCATTTTTACACAAACCAATGAGGTTTAGAGTTTAGGCATCAAAATGTGCTCAGGAAATGTGGAAATCAGCCTTAATACATCATGTATGTTTACATTTGTCCAGCAACATTAAAGTTTATTCACACATTGATCAACTATTCATTTATACAGCACCTGGTACGGAAGTCCAAAGCTGCCAGTATTTTTTTTTATAGCATTATCCCACTTTTCCCATAGCCAGTTGGCTAAGATTAAAATATTGTTTATTCACACATCGATTAACTTTATTATACAGAAGTCCAAAGATGCCAATTAGCCGATTATTTTTCTGTTTGTGTGCACATGATGCAGCAAAATGTTTTAGAAAATATTCTTAAGATAAACTAATTTGTAGTCTGAAACAAGTTGAAATATTCTTGCTGCGTTGGCCATATTTTATCACTTTAAAAAAATATACGGAAGCCATGAGATGGAAAATGAAAAAATCATAAACACAGGAGAGAAAACAAATTAAATCAGACTTAGAAAATATACCACAGGATTTTTTTTCCTCACTTGCCACTCAGGGCTTCTGTAGAAATTATGTTTTTAGGTCTAAAAAGAAATTACATGATAAAATTAAGATTTAATTCTAATTGTATCATTAATATATAATACGTTTTACACAACAGAAGTGTGTAGTTACTTTCTGTCCAATCAGAACATTATGAGGTTGTCATATGACCACATTACTGCACACTAACACTCGGTTGTTGTGGTTGTTGTGGTGCAGAACTCCCAGGAGGCCCGGACAGTGAAGGCATCACTGACCGACCTGCCCAGCTCACCCGAGGTCGTCGCCTCCAAGAAAAACCTGTTTGAGGCCGGAGACGCCTGGAGCCACCAGAGTCCCACCAAGGGAGCGACCTGCAAGGTGAGAACGCCTCCTCAGAGGGTTAAAGATGTCCGACTGTGGCGATAAAGTATCTCAGCATTAACTATTCGTACTTTCTCTGCATCAGGACACTGAGGGGTTGAAGGTGGGCGTGGCCAACCTGATCACTCAGTGGGTGAAGGGTCCGTCCGACGGCGGCAGGCTGTCGGCCGGCAGACCGGCGGTAAGTCGCCAACGTTTAAATCTTAATGCCAAAACAAAACTCTCTAAAGCTTTTGTTTGGTTTTACAGAAGCTATTTTACGTCCAATTAATGTCATTTTCTTATAAAAACAAACAAGAACTTACAGAAGGAATCTAAAGTGTGTGTTGTGATGTGTTCAGGTGCAGCTTGAAAAAGTTTGTTATGTGAGGTTTCCCTCTTGTGGAGAAACAGTATACAACAATGAACAAAACAGCTTCTTCATTTGCTGTGAAGAATTTATTTTAATTGGAAAAATATTAAATAAAGTGAAAAGATAATTAATAGAATTTTTTTAAATTCAATTTAAGTGTTTTTTATTGAGTTTTTAATGTTTTTACATGTTGCTGCTTTCCAATAAAAGTGAATATTTTAAACTTTGTGAAAGCAAAGCTCCTTTCACAAAATGCTGGAACTATATTTTGACCTCAGCGTATCCATCCGCCCACTGTGACGACACAGAAAGCTGCACAGACATCAGACTGTTGTTCAACTAGAAATAGTTCCAGCACCTAACTCACCCTGAAACCACAAACTGTAAACAAACAAACAAACAAACAAACAAACAAACAACGTGTTAATTAGTGAATTTTAGAGATGCTGATTGGTGCATTTATGAACACAGTGGAGCCAGGCTAGCTGTTTCCTCCTGCTTCCAGTCTTTATGCTAAGCTAAGCTAACCACATCCTGATTGACTAAACATATTTTACAAAAATGTTACTTTAAATATTTGTTCCTTTTAAAACTGACCATGTTTGTATTGATTATTGATTGATTTGTCAGGATGTGAAGCCTGGAGATGTGATGCAGAAGAAGAACATGTGGGAGGTGATTGTAGACTCATCAGGTCGACCCGGACAAAGAGCCAAAGTGAGCACAAATACACAGATCTGTGAATTAAACCATTATTATTGAAAACATATGAAATAGTAAAGTTAATAAAAACAACATTTTACTGTAAAATGTGACAGGATGATTAAACTTTGTCGTTTTCTCTCTTCAGGGTTCAGCTGCCAGTAAAAAGTACAAATTTGTCATCACTGGTCACGGAAAGTACGAGAAAATCCCCGTGGATGACGAGGACGGCGAGTTCACTAACGGAAAGTCTGGTAAGAAGAAAGAAAGTTTAATTCATACATTAAAATCCTTTAAAAAAAACATTTGTCCTTCTACCTTATTAAAAATTACGCAAACGTGTTCGTCACTTTAATGAAAGGAAGAAGGTGATCGAGGTTTTTGCTCGACTGTTATTGGAGCACAGAGCAAAAAGGGGGCGGGGCTTAAGAAAGGGTCAGTTCCCTTTTCTTGTAAATAAAAAGTGTTCAAACATTAAAAACACAGTAAAGTCAATGAGGGAAACTGCACATTTATTCTGAGAGAATCACAGAAAATCTACATTTAATCCAGCACACGCATTAGAAATCATTAGAAAGAACAATAGAAAACAAACATTCAGAAATAAAACTAGAAGAATAAACTTTGGATTGGCTGTTTGTGTCTCTCGACCTTTGACCCCACGGTTCACTATCCCACCGTCCTCCATCATGGCGGACGCTGCTCTTCATTGTTCTTCTCTAACAACTTACAGAAGCTTTTAGCTCAGCGGCTATCTTGAAGTCACAATGAAATCAAACATTTCGTTGGCGGCTAATTGATCATTTTAAACGTACTTATTACTGATATTGTTGTTATTAATGTCGACCACCAGATTAGATTCCCCTTGAAATCAATGAAACGAGGCATCAGAAAAACTACCGCTTCATGACTTCTTGACTTGAGTTCATTGTTGTTGCTTTAACTTGTTTATGCTAAACCGTAGCTGTTAAAATAGTGCACATTTAGTGTCCCACAGCGGAACAAAACAGCAGTTTCGCTACTTGTGGATGTGACTATAAGTATAAATGCCGCTTTTATCTTTTAACCAACTTCAAAATGTGGTTAAGTACAGGAAAAGGAGGAAGTTGCCCGAGGTTCCAAAAAGGGGGCGGGACTCTTTATGTCGTACGTACAACCCGATCTCACTCCCAACTCGTCAAATACTGCAGCTTGTGTCAGTACTTTACTCTCCGCCTCCGAATCCCAAATATAACGCTCTAGGTTTCCCTCAGGCGCCATTTCTGGACGCGCCCTCCGTCAAAGTCATGTGACGTAGAATAAATAGCGAGAAGAAAGATGGTGGAATGAATGTTTGTGTCCCGTTTGAGACCAAAAACGTGTTTGAAGTGTGTTCACGTACATTACATAAGATACATTTCATACTAAAGTTACGTGTCAGGTACGTAATTTACGACCTTTTCCTGATCCTAAGCAAGCAGGTAAACTTAACGAAACTACACAGTTTTTGTTATTGGTGACTTAACCGAACATGTTATTGTTGCTAACTTGACCGCAGAGCTCTGCGCGTCCAGAAATGGCGCCTGAGGGAAACTTACAGCGTCTTACGAAAGGACAAAAAGAGGCTTTCAAAGAAACTGAAACTCAATATTAGGAAGATCTGATGGGTGTTTTCCCTTTAATTGAAATAAATATGCTTAATTAAAATGTTGTTTCGTTGTGACTTTAAGACGGTTCAATCACAAAACACGACCCATCTACAGCCTAAAAAGATCGTGTTACACTCTACGTACACATCCATTATCTAGTGAGAGGTCTCACCCTGAGGCAAGTAGCACCATTTTGAATAAAACTGGATATTTGAATGATCATCACATAAGAGAAACAGAATTTTCACATGTGATTTGTCTTAAAATCATTAAGTTTTTCAATTCTATCCATAAAAATACAAATATTTATATGAAATATCTGTAAATTATCCACTAGAAGCAACTTTCAAGCATAAATAACTAAATCTAAATAATAATCACAGTCTCGGTTTCACAGACAGATTTCCTTTACAAGAACCAAATGTTTTAAACTCTATATTTAATCTATATTTAATGTGAACATGTGCTGAGAGAAACAAATGAGAAGCTCCGAAATTACTTAAAACATAAACGCTTTAATCCGATGTGACGTCTGAATGACTTTAAGACAAATGTAACTCTCGCTTTTCCAGCTAAAACCACAAATACAAACATCCAGACAACCAGTCACGCAAAAGAAAAGCAACACAAAGCTTTTTGTCAAGTATAAAGTTCAAGCCGAGTTTTCTACATTTGTTAAACACAGAGACTAAGAATCCAGACCTGTACATTATTTCTGTTGCTAAGATTTCTACACCTGTACATTAAACATATAGTCATAACTTTTTTTTTCTTTACATTTTCGTCTTGGCACTTTATATTATATATATTATAGTAGTTTAAGTAGCAGTGAACCCCCTTGCCTTTCTGTTAAAGTCTTTTGGTTCCTCGTCTTTACCTTTCCGCCCAATCAGACCCATTTCAAAAACTGTTGATATTTTCGTCACCGGCCTCGAGGCTGCCTCTTTGAGCCTTTTCGCGTCAAACTTTGGACTAAAGAGCAGCACTGGCAGCCGGAACGCAAACGAAGGTATCTCTTTCATCTCGTCTATCGTCTCTTCCGTCTTCTCCTCCTCGCTTTTGTTCAACTCGATCTGGTGCATGATGTTCTCTTTGGTGGAGAACATCTGGAAGAGGACGGCGTCCCACATTTTCAGTGCCTTGGGAGCGTCTTTGCTTTGGTTCTCGTCCTGAGGGTCAGAAGCGTCGCCGGCCTTCTCGTCTGCCTTTTTCACCTCGCTCTGGTCCTGCTCGGTGGTCTCCTTCTGAGAGCCGATCTCTGGAAACTTGGGCTCCTCCTGCTCCACCACCATGTGCTTCTTGAGTCGGGACCAACCGCTTAATTTAGATTTCATCCCCTTCGGCTTTTGAATGGCTTTAAGAAGTGGCTCGGCTGCTGGTAGGGATTCATCACCTTCTTTTTTCTCAGGTGCAGGTTTGTCTTTTCCTTTGTCTTCACTTCCTGTTGACTCAACAGCAGACGCCTTAACAGGCAAAGCAGGCGCTGCGGTGGTTGTCTTTGAGGCTTCGGCTTTAGTCTTGGTGGCAGCTGCAGGTTTCACCAGCTCTTTTTGATCTGACACGACAGCCAATTTCTGCTCAGCAGTCTGGACTTTATCTTTGCCTAAAAGTTTTCTCACTGCCTTCAAAGGATCCTGGTCGTCACCTTTGGGCAGAGGATGTTTGACTTCAGGAGTTTTCGTCTTTGGTTTGGCAACTTCTTGAACTTTAGTTTCAACCTTCTGTTTCTCAGGAGCTTTTACCACCACTGTTGGAGGTTTAACCTTTGGTGTTTCTCGAATCACAGTTTTATCTTCTTTTGCTGCAACCTGACTGGACATTGTACTTGTCTCTTGTGTTCCTGGGGTGTCAGATGCTTGCGAAACAATAATAATCGGGATCGAGGGCATGGCAGCAACCTTGTCATCTTTCAGATGGGGTTTATCAATGTCTTTGAGGCTTTCTTTGACTTTGGACACCTCTGCTGTAGATTCCCCCTTCGTAGACGGTTCTTGGATGGGTGTTTTACATTCTGCTGATTCCTCTTTTGCAACCTCTTCTTCAGTTTGTGTCTTAGAACTGATGATACCAAATGCTGGAGAGAACGTTTTGATTCCACCGTAAGCAGCATATTCAGCCGGTGTCAATCCGCGGTAGCCAGACTTTGGTTTTTGAGCCACTTGGGTTGGAGTTTTAGGTCTCTGAAAGGCTACAGGTGATACACCAGAAGGCGATGTCCCATATGTTGGTGTCTTTGGTCTTTTATAGCCAGGTGATGTGGTCATAAGTCTGGATGCCTCGTATGTTGGAGTCTTAGGCCTCTGATAGTCGTGAGAAGTCACTGCTGGTGGCTCAAATGTAGGCGCTTTGGAGAGCCTTTGAGAACCAGCTGGAGTAATTTGGGTCTTTTCTCTTGTCAAATCAGGCTCTGATTTTGACTTTGCTAAACTTTGTTGGATTGGTTTAGCTGCAGGCGTCAAGTCTAAATGAATGTCCCCATTCGGTATTGCTTCAGTAGGCTTCGGGTCAGTAGCCTTCACACTTTGTGGAACAGATGAACCACTCGTAGGAGAAACTGTTTTGGGCGTTCTTGACCTCTCTGGCTCTACTGTGATTGGCGATACCGCAAACAAGAGAGGATTGGGTCTTGAGATTTCAAACACGGGCGTAGCAGCCCGACCTTTAAGGTAGGCCGGAGTTCTAGGCCGACCTGCTGAAGCTCTTGATTGGAACTCATAAGTTGGTGTTGTTGTAACACTCTGGAGGGATTCAGGATGTTGGAGTATCTCTTTTACGTGTCAGGAGATCGTTGGAGTAGTCTCTTTTTACTTGCATGATGTTGAGTAGCTCTTGTGTTAACTCAGGAGTGTTTGGAGTGCCTCTTCTAACTTCAATGTTGGATTGGCCTTGTAGACTTCAGATGTTGATAGCTCGTTGTTTAACTTCAGATGTTGGAGTTGCTCTTTTAACTTCAGATGTTGGAGTTGCTCTTTTGACTTCAGATGCAGGAGTTGCGATTGCATTTATCTCTGCAGTTGGTGTAGTGCCTCTTTTAGGTTCTAAAGTCGGTGTTCTTCTCTGGGGATCCGTGCCCAACAAAGGAGTCAGATCTTGTTTTGTTTCTGTTGACGTTTTACTTTGTGGCGCTGTGCTGCCGATCGCAGTTAATCCAGCCGAGTCATACACCGGTGGGGTCCTGGACGTCTCGTAGTACGATGTGCTTGCCGTGTACATCCTAATCTGAGGGACGTCAAACATCGGTTTGGGCGATCTTGAAGGTTCGGTTGCTTTGAATGTTGGACGTGGACTTTTGGATTTGACGAGCGGGGTCAACACCGTAAGAGGACGAATCAAAGCTTGCCCCCCAGGTGCTTGATAAGGAGTCACACCTGGACTGTGTTTCGGCTGTGGGGTCGCTTCAGCACCTGCAGAAGGTCTTTCAGCAAATGTGCTAAATGCTGACTTTTTCACCTCAGCAGCTGGTACTGTTGCCTCAGATATTTTGGGTACCGCCAGCTGCGTGACTGGCCCCTGAGCTGGTGAGCCTCCAGAAAGGTGGGCCTGTGCAGAATATGAAGAAACTGTGGTGACATGCTGCGAGTAGGAGTACGACGGCATCGCCACCGTCTGAGGTGAGAACCTCGCTGCTCTGCCATAAGCTGCACGCTGCGGGTAAGGGGACGCCACATGTTGATAGAGCGGCCTGACGGTGAACCGTGGAGGCTGGTGGATGCTGTAGAGGATGAACGGTGTCTCTGGAGTCCTGGGAGGGGTTGAGTGGTCGCTGTGCTCGAGGTCGGGGCTTGCTTCGTTCACAGGGGAAAGGCTGGAGCGGAAAAGCGCGGCAGACTGCGATGCCTGAGCAGAGGCTTTTTTCTTGGCAGTTCTCTTGAGGAGTTTCTGAAGTCGAACGTTGTCCTTTCCGGGCTTGGGCAGCAGGGGTGGGGGGTACTGCTGGGAAAGCAGGCCCGGCTGGGTGACGGCACCGTAAACGACAGCCATGAGCGCTTCAGCACCCTGTGGAGAAAAATAAATGAAAGTTCAGAAAAGGGAAATTCATAGCAGGTTGGGATCAAAGTAGTATGAAAAGTCAGTAAAACTCTGTCTTTGTTCACTTTATCTCAGCTTTTCTTCCACATAATGCAACCCTGAATAATACCATTACAGATCTAACAGATCTTTCACTCGTCCTCTTTGACGATTTATCAGGGCGTCGCTGTTTATCTTAAAATATAGTACGATGATCCCCTATATTTAATATTGGTTTCAGTTCATCCAAACTAAAAAGTCTCAAATTTAAGTGGATGAAACTTTATTTAACTCTGCTGTTGGTTTATAATATAAAGACCACTTTATTATATGTGTATATTTAACATTTTCATGTCTTTTGCAGATTTATATGAAGATTACTGAGGAGGGTCGTTGTCTCTTCTTCATCTCACAAAAACATCATAAAGACATCGAACAGAAGCAGCAGTTATAGACTCAATATTTCAGCTCAAGTCCAACAAATTTCCTCATCAAATCTCTGCTTTTTATTCCCCGACATTGTTTCTATTATTGTGTATATATCTGACTGTGAGCTGTTTAATGTACTCTCCTGCTCCTGCAGTATTTAGGTGAATCATTCATAATGTGGTTGATCTTTGATGGTTGATGGTGTGTAGGAAAAGTTTACAATCACGTAGAATTAATGGTTTATGTGACGTTATCTGTTCTGCACTTGGCTGAAGATCTGACAGTTAAAGTGTAAACACTGAGTTTATCCAAGATGTACCTAAAGTCTCAACAACCTGATCTATACAATCAAATCCTTTATGTCTATCAGCTCTGTCTACTGTTTCACCTTTAATATCCATTCACTGAGATTCCTGATTGTATGTGTTTATAACCCCTTTTCTTAAATAAATTAAAATAATTTTCTACTTCTGCAGTGCCCTTTTATTTCATTGCTCGTGATTCACAGTCCCAGGATCAGTGGTTATCAACCTTTTTCCTTAAGGGAACTGACTATATTTTATATATATTCGATATTATATTCAGTGGATAACAATAAAGTACAATGAATCCAAACATTGAACACAGTAACTGAAGTTTAAGAGGTGTTAAAGCAGTTAGAAAACCCCACACACATATAATGGAGCTTTTTATAAATCATCCAGCTGAACTCTTCCTGGATGATGTTACCGCCTCACAGCTGATCCTGGAAACTCTGACTTGGCCTAATTTTAGTTTGGAGGCAGAGAAGAGGCCGAGCCAATCACCTGCTTCCCTTTTTTAAGACTCCTGGCGTTTTACAGGCTGCATCACTTTCTCCTAAAAAACAATAAATCAGAATGCTGTGGATGCGGATCAGACGGAGCCTCTGAAGCTTCAGACCAGCGTATAAAAACTGAATACAGATGATTTCATGTTGGCAGCTTTCTGTGTCTTTACAGCTGCTGTGGTTAACAAATGCAAAGTTTAAAGGTTCACTTATGATCCATGCTCAAAATGTATATGATATTTACACAAATCTGTACAAAAAAAATACAGTTTAAGGTCTAATTTTGGTAAGAAAATGTCTATTTGTGACTTTATAAACCTTATAATTATGTGTTAATATTATTACTTTGCTTATTACTCCCTGCCAACAGTAATTAGTTACACTACTACTTATATTACTTTACTGCTACTCCTCACAAAATTGGTAATTGTGTCCTTTCACTTCAAAATTTCAGACTTCCAACAAGCAATGTTTTTATTCTATTTTCTTTTATTTATCTAATTTTAATTTTAATTTTAATTTTATTTCTATGGTTTTTAGTCTGCTCTTATTATTGTATTATGTCTTTATTATTTTTATATTTATTTATATTTTGTGTATCACAGCTATTATTCTGTTTATTATTATTATTATTATTATTATTATTATTATATCTTCCAAGCTAGTGATTGGATTGGATTGTTGAATTTCAAATCAGTTGGTCAGTAACTGTAATATTATTACTCAAATAGTAATTAGTTACATTGCTTGTTACTAGGGAAAGTAATATTATTATAAGAAAACAAGACTGAAAGTCAGAAGTTACGATTGAGTCAGATACTCACATAAGGAAAGGTCATTAAAGTCAAAAACGTTCATCCTCTGAGGAGCTGGAATATGATTATAAAGATTTTATTTTGAAGTATAAGTGGAATATTTGTCCCTAATGATGGAAAGAGTCAACAAAAATCATTAGGATTCATCCTCTGGGGACCTTGAACTTCCACAACAAATATGATGTTGGCTCTAGAGTCTCAAACTGCAAGATTATTATTACTTTTTCTGGTTGTTTCATATTTGATTGAAACGGTTCGCTGCGAACAACAAAGATGATTTAAAACGATGATATAAAGATGAATAGAAACTCAGTATGATGTATGATTATGGTAATATTCTGCTTTCTTTAACGTTCAAGCGTTAAAGCCCGAAGCCAATTTGTGACCTCTGCTCTAGAGTAAAGCTCAAAATCAGCAGAATCCATAAATATTAAGTATTTGGATTAAAGTGACCGATATCTCTTTCCTCCTTTGAATCCCGAATCGGTCACATATCACCTTGTTGTGTTATTTTGGAACCGTGTGAGCTTTACAGGCTAAACTTTGCAGTGCAACTTTTGTCACGTCAGGATCCTCTCGTGTCTCTTCCCACATAAATAACATGCATATAGACGAGTATATATATCTGCTGAGGGTGAAAGTGAACAGCATGCGACCTTGTGACATCACAGCCCCATGACATCGGATATTGACTCTGAGAATACCCCAAATCGCACGAGAGGACAAAAATTTAGCACTAAAAGATGGATAAAGTTTGTTTTTTATTACCCAAAAAAGGTTATTTCTTTAAAAATAACTACACGGGCGACATTTGTGGCTTCAATTAGGACTTAAAATAAGAGTTGGATAAGTTTATGATGAGAGAGGATCACTGACATCAGTGCAAAACCAACTGTTTAATATCCTCAGTTTACTATGTGTGTCACCTCAGTGAAATGTAGGCCAGAGCTGGTTGTGTTTTAAAGCCTCCCTCCCTCCCTCCCCCATCCGACACCC